ACTCGGCTAGAGCAGAAATAAGAAGAGCCGACCTATCTCCTTTGCACTGGGGGCGAATGCGATGACATCAGCCGGCGTGCCAAGCCTCCTATTAATTGTTACTCAAGCAGAGAGCAACATGCCGCCCGTGTCCCAGGGACAGAAAGGATCGAGCAAGGAACGCAAAGGGGGTGGGGAAGGCGTTGTTATGAACTTTGACTTTAACGGTGCGACCGCTGGTGCATGCACGATTCACGACTGATACAGTAAAACGTCGTTATAACGAAGCAGGATATAGCGAGCTAATGGATATAACGGAGCAATGGTAATTCCCCTTGAAATTGCCATAGACGCCCATGTATTTAAAACCTCATTTAAACGAAGCAAAAATTTCCTCACAATGGATATAACAAACCATTCTTCGTTTGCAATGAGTAGTTACTGATAATTTTGGTATACGTCAATTCAATCTCAAGAGTGCACAACAGTTTACGTCTAATCAGGGCTGCGGTAATTCAAAACTCGCACCTTGCGCTCCCGGGAAGCCGCCTGCAGCCTGCCAACATGCTTGTGGAAGCGAGCCTATCCTCCCATTTTCTCAAGAACTAATGGACTCGCCCGCACAGCAACTTCGCGAGTGTGCACGTCAGCCGGCCTCCCCTCTCCTGTAGAACTCGTTGGCCCGCCCGCGCGTCTGACCTAAAGTCCCTGGATATTTTTAGGAAAGTACCGCCATTCTTTTAACTGAGCCACCGGGCCGAGCATACTCCTCACCCGCCTCTCGGACCGCAACAAGCATCGTGCATGTTATCAGCGTGACATAGCAATCTTGATGGAAAGTGGCACGAGCCGGGTTATAGGGCTGGCGCCAGCGCGGTGGCTGTTTGGGAAAGGATATAGATTACGTATGGACACTTTGGAGGAGAGGGTTGGACACTTCTGGAAAGGATATGGAGGAGAGTGTCGCTACTTTTTCTATATTAAGGGGCTTTTATCTGACCTCCTTCTCCCCTTCAGCACAGCACCGAAACCTCGCACAGCCGCCGGGGCGGCAGAGATTATGGCATTCGTCCTTGTTGTTGGCAGTCAAAGAGCAACACCACCTCTATCAGTTTCTGCCGCTAGACACGAGATGAGCAACGGCAGCGACAAACGTAAGCGCGAAAACAATCGAGCAGAAGTCGGAAGTTGAAAGCCGTTGAGTCTGGTGTCAAGAAAAAGAAAAGTGGCCAAAGATTTCGGCGATGTCGTTGGGTGCCGCGGGCGACCAGGCCCAGAGGTCGTGGAACGCTCTCCTTGACGCCAGTGTTGTGCCTGACTGCGACACTTCCTGCGTGTACGTCGGTGCCGATGCTAATGCGGTAACAACCAAACAGTTGTCAGATGCGGAAATTGTGCCGAGTGAAAACAAAACAGTGACGAATGTGTCGACACCCTGGAGCATAATGTTGGCGAACCCGATGCCCGCGCAAGCGCTGAATGCGACAGACCTGCTGTGCTGCTTCTTTGGGGCTTACTATGATGGCGAACAGGCACTCAAAAAAGCTGCTGCAGCTGAAAAAGCAGTCATCCGCGTGAGGAAGAGTCAGCAAAGTCAATATTATTAGGGACTATTTTTCTTCGAAGTTATCTGCCAGCTGGAGTGCTGAATTTAGAAGAAATAAAGTGCATTGTTCCTTGTTATTTTGCTATTTTTTGTCTTCCGACGACCGTTTGTCTCTGTGCGGCGGGCTGCTGTGATATTCATTGATGTCGACATTCTTTCTTGCTGGCTAATTGCTGGTAAATATGAATATTGGCTATAACGAACTAATAAATATAATGAAGTAATTGTTACTCCCCCTTCAACTTCGTTATAACGAGGTTTGACTGTTTATTCATCTGCCTTGTACTCTCAACGTAAACTGACTGTGCAAAAAGTGCTTCGCTTTCTAGAGCGACCATATAAGGGTATGCACTAAGCCTTGATCACAAGGCGGCCACACCATCATCGGGTTATTTCGAGGTCCATTCATACGTGCCGCTCATGCTGTACAGATAGAATCACAGAGGTCTAGAGCAGCGGAGCGCATGTCTGTCGACACTGTTGTTGGCCGCAGCTTCTATCTCACGTTAGCTGCAAGCTTTCATTAATGCTTACATTACAGCAAAAGGGCCTCACACGCAGTACAACCATGTTTGGTAGCACTACGGTGTCTCTCTTTACATCTTTCTGAAGGAAATGCCCGCAGGAGAGGCCGGCTGGGCACTCTAAACAAGTCTGAAACAAACTTTAGATGTATCGGCATGCAAGAGATGTTGCGGAGATCTCTAGTCACCCAAGTAGCGGATATCGAACATCGATTGTGCAGCAAGTTGTTGCGAGTGTGCGGATCTAGAAAATGGCAACTTTGTTGCTAGCGCTTCTCATGGATGACACCACACCTTATTATTTGGTATAACAATACAATTTGTCGGTATCGCATTCACTCCGAACAGCGTACTAATAAATTGTATCTTTTTTTAGAAACAATATAGCGCAACTCAAAATAAGGCTGGCTAAAAGGACAAAGATCACTCTAGTTGCTTCATGCTATCAGTCACCTAAACGCGAAGCAGATGTTAGTAGAACAGAAAGTTAACGAGCAGTCTCATTATACCTTGAGATAGCACGCGCCAGCTAGTTCAAGCGACATAGCAGTCTCCCTTCACCCCTCCCTTCAAAACGAGGCAACAAATGCGATGCCTCACTATCGCTGCGAGTATTGAAACTGAATTGAAGCTGCTCCTATCAGGAGACATGCTTTTATAAATACGATGACATTTGAAAAGAAGGCACGCGAGAATTTTCGATTCCAACACTAGCAACCTCGAGTCCGAAAGGGCAGGGTTTTTGGGGGCTTTTCCTGCAACAGCAATTATAAACAGGGATCTGCTAGTGGAAGGAATTACAAAGGTGAACTTAGGAATTACAGGAAAGTATGTTGGAGAGAAAATGTCAACGCATTCCCATGTCCAGACATAGACGTGACTGACATTCTCGTGGCACGTGTGCAGTTAACGAAAATTGCTTTATTACATGCTGCACAGCTCTTCAAGCAAACTATCAGCAGCGTTCTGGAACAAACGATGTCCGCCGATGAATCACCGTCACAGTTTCACGCTACTGATTGGACTAGACGTCACGAGCCCCTGCGAAGAGCGTGCTTCATCATAAAGCAGACTTGCACAACAGAGTTGTGCAAGTCTGCTTAACGGTAAAACGCACGCGCGACTGCAGTTTATTCAGCAAAATTAAATACGTATGTATGTGATTGTGACTGGTGGCCCAGAGAACAAGGTGCACTTGTATTGGCATGCCCGCGTGGTTATTCCTGGTGTTAGATGCTCCCAAATTCGACTTTGGCACAGTTCGGCACAATTTCCGTAGTACTTAGCCCGTGACAATATTATCAGGATGGCGCAGTAAATATGACTTGGCGAACTTTGGCGTAGTTCGCACATGAGTGTGATCACTGACTTTATTAGGTTACAGAACTAAAGGTATGCAACTTGCAAGAAAATTAATTATATATCGTAAATCAGCGTAGAAAGTTCTATAAACAGCTGAAGTTTCATTTGTTTATGATTAATATAAAAAAGAAAGTGTCCTTAGGTAGCATCTCCGCTTTGCAGCTTAGTCAAGCTGCAGTTGTCAGCAAAAGATTGCACTCTTCCTCAAATGAATGAGCACTCACAGTACAATATTTAGTTTCTCTTTTTTTTTTTTCCACGATTATTAGATAGTAACGTGACCGTAGATGTATACTCAGCACAGGTAGGCAACTCATGAGTTGGATTCACGATTTTTGCCCAAATTTTTTTTATTTTTCACTGCAATGATTTTTGTTATATTACCCACCCCCTCTGTAACGCCTTTATGGACCCTGAGGGTAATGTAAATAAATAAATAAGCGACTTTTCAAAATAACCAATGATATTTAGTGGTCTTCTGAGATTTATTATATTGAGATTTCATTATGTACATATACGAGAGATGTTCAAAAAGTAACCAAGCTTTTCCAATGAAGTGCCAACCATGAGAGGAAGTGCACTGCGACTACAAACCGCATGTAGCGGCAAGAAACAAGAAAGTGTCATTTACTGCTATTCACCCTGATTGTTAGTTTGCGAGCTAGAGCCCCTAAAATGAGCACATGGACAAGCTGTTCTTCAGATTAGCACCAATTTGACAAGGAGAGCTGGAAGAACAACATTCATGTGTGAAGTTCTGATACAAACTTGGAAGAACTTTCCAAGGAACATTCCAGTTGTTGAATGAGAATACTAAATGAGCTGCACGCACTGCTGTGAGTAATTCAAGCATTAAACATGGTAGAATGTCTGTGGGCGATGGTCTAAAGCCCGGGCGACCTTTCAGAACAACAGATAATGACCAAGTCAAACTTCGTGCTGTGAATTCGAAGAAATCTTCATTAAACTTTTCTAGATGTTGCTGACGAAGAGGGCATTATAGCCTAGAATAATGCCATGAAGTTTCTTGTTATTTGCTCTATCCTGATCATGAAATAACATTGAAACGACGGCGTTTCCAAACCACAGAGGAGATCCAGCACCGTGCGCGAAGAAACCTGCGGGCCATTCCAAAAAGTGCGTTCCAGGAGACTTTCCAAAAATGGAAGAAACGATGATGGGAATAGTGTATTGCAAGCAGAGGGGGGATAGTTTAAGGGGGAAAATGTCAAAAAGAGTTGCACTACAAATAGCAAAGATGTTGTAGAAAAAAGTTCGGTTTCTTTTTGAAAACACCTCGTATATGTCATCATGTGCAATAAACACCTCATTTACTAGTTAACGCTTTGTCCAGTCTTACTTTTTCACAGTGCACGTGAATTTTCGCACTGCTGCCTGGATGCAGGCAATTGAGCTTGTTTCATTGTTGCTACGACAGTGCATGCCTAGGCTGAGCAGAGAGTAGCCCTTAATGGATATTTATGTGACGGTGCAACAGACGGCAATCAAGACCAGACAGAGAGGCCTACCTGCTTGAGCTGGTCGTTGAGGCCTGCATATAGGCGGCGACAGACCTCGTGGCAGACTCCCTGTGGGGAAACGTTCGGCACCAGCACTGCTGAACATGAGAATGCCTGGTACAACTGCAGCCACCTGCGTGACATGGCCTTGCGCACCTGCACAGTGAAGCAACCTTCTAGTCGTTGATGACTGCCAGATGGCTGTACACTGATGGCTAAATAACACAAAGTAATAAAACTAAACCCTACCATTACAAAATCGCTGGGAAAAGTGAGAAACACTGCTACTGTGAAAACTTGGTTATTGTAAAATCAGAGAAAACAAATAGAAAAATGCATGCCAAAATAGACATTTAAAGTGAAGACCTTCCCAGTCCCTGTCATATTAACGAAGAAATCTTTCTTTGCATAACAGCAAGACTTGCATTGCATCATTTTAATCGAGTGCTCCCAAGAACGTTTTCAAGATTTCCAAGAGATCTGGCTGGTTGCTTGTGCAAGCCAGTAATTACAGACACCACCAAACCACAGGCTCTGGCACAGTTTGCCACAATTTACATTAATTTTATCACCATGGTGCAGCAAATTTAGTATTGGTGCACTCTGGTGCAGTTGGCACAAGAGTGAAACTACTGTACACTACTCTCACAAAAAATAAGAACAGGATTTACATATCCATACCAAAAAAATTCACAGCATATCGACGGAGTGTATGATGACGAGTGGTGCGAAGCGTCAATCTGTCTGCCCATCTGTCCGTTCCATCTGTCCGTTCCATCTGTCCTGTAGAGCACGCATCGGATCGATGGACGGACGAAGGCTTTGCCGCACTCATCATCACTCACTCTGTGGATATGCTGTGTATTTCTTATTACAACAGCACCATCTATCTTTAATAGTCAACTTTACGAAAACCACTAATGCCATCCAGTGATATTATTTCCAAGGATACAACACACAACACCATCTAGTAATTCATAAACTAGAGGCGGCTACATACATGCTCCATAGAAACGATTAGTGGAGTTTATTGGCGCAAGGGCCAGATGTGGCCAAAGAGCGCCAGAACGATGATAATGAATTGTACGATGTGCAGTGTAGATAAAACAGATATGATGTGGCTGTAAATGGGCCTAAAAAACAGTCGCTGTAGGTGCGTAAAAATATATATATAATAAGATTATGGCAATGACAAATGATGTGTGCTATGGAGACATAAAATGGTTTAAAAGTGATATGTATGTGAAATAAAAACTTGGCATGGAGCACCAGTGCCTCGACAGAACCCTTAAAACAAGAGCATGGAGGCCTGGGCTCATTAAAAGCTGCTATCACAGCAGTATCCTCTGAACAGAGGATGCGCTATGAACCTGTTTGGCTAAAAACATTCAATGTTGGGCTAAAAACATTCAATACTACATCCTTTAAAAAGCTTAAAACAGATTTTGCATCGAAAAGCGGCTCTTCGCCAAGGAACATAATCGGATGTAAAGGAAGATTATAGCGGTATGCTAAAGCAAAATATTTTTTTCTCTCACTTTCAGCTTCCGGACACTCCAGGAGGACGTGGAGGACGGTTAGCCTCTCACCACATCTACCACAAGTAGGAGGTTCATCGCCAGTCAGCAGGAAGCTATGGGTATCATAAGTGTGTCCTATTCTGAGGCGACAGAATAGGACATCAGTTCGCCGTGTTCTTGTAGCGGAGGGCCAGTAACCCAACCTCGGCTTAATCAAGTGAAGCTTATTATTTATTTCTGTGTCCCACAAGCGTTGCCAGTGGTTTCGCAGTTTCTTACGTAGGAAGGGTTTTAGATCTGTTGCAAGGACAGTAGCGGTGGGGTTAATAGAACGCAATATAATTGACGTGGCCATTTGGTCAGCTAACACGTTGCCCTCGATGCTTCTATGGCCAGGAACCCAGCAAATAGTAACATGCTGGTTGGACATGTACGCAGTACATAGGACGGAATACAACTCAATTATAACCGGATTTCTGATTCTGAAAAGGGATCTTAATGCATTTACGATGCTTAATGAGTCTGTGAATATAATAGATTTTTGTATATTTGACTTCCGTATATGCTTCACAGCCGACAATAGTGCATATCCCTCAGCCGTAAATATACTTGTTTCCGGGTGCAGCACACCGGATTCCGAGACGGATGGTCCGACGGCTGCATAAGCCACCCCTGCATGCGACTTAGAAGCATCAGTATAAAACTCTACGCATGAGTAGTTGGACTGAAGTTGTCAGAAATGCATTTTAATATGTGCTTCTGGTGCATGTTTAGTGATCTCGACAAAGGAAGTGTCACAATCTAACAGGTTCTTTAAGGCGTCGGTCAAACAATTGGAAAACAATAACAGACTACTCACGCGGCGATTATGACTCAATCAACAGTGAACTCGAATCGAATTTTGAGAGCTTTGCTAATGGCTTCTTTGATCGCAGCGTTCAACAAAACTGGAACTTGTTCAAAATGAAAGTTGAATCTTTAATCACGCGATACATTCCCACATACGTTATCAAGGGTCACCAACGCCCCCCTTGGTTCTCAACTGACTTAAAAAAATTGCGGAATAAAAAGAAACGGTTGTTCCGTCAGGCGAAGCAGACTAATTCGTTAGCCCATTGGCACGTGTACAAATCTGTCCTTTCCGAATACAGAGCAGCTATCAAGGAAGCCAAGCGCGTTTTTCTTAATAATACCCTTCCCTCAATTCTTGTAACCAACCCTTCTAAGTTTTGGAAAACTGTTAAACCTAGGGAAAAGAAAAACATTTCGCTTACAAACTCAGACGGGCAGCCAGTTCGCTGTGAAGAGTGTTGCATTGCATTAAATGATTTTTTTGTTACTTCTTTTTCAAGTTGTTCTGCTTCTGCGTTGCCGCAAATGCCTAGTCGTGATTTTTTACCCATGTATCCTGTTACCGTTGATGCCGTTGGAGTGCAAAATTTAATTCACAAGCTTAAGTTATCCTCTTCTTGTGGCGTAGATGAAATCAACTCAAAGTTTCTAAAAAACACTGCATTGTATTCATCAATTTACTTGTCCTTAATCTTTTCGCAATCTATTCAGACCTCCACTTTGCCGCTTGACTGGAAGGTGGGGAAGGTGGTCCCTCTGCACAAATCTGGTAACACACAGTCTCCTCTCAATTACAGACCAATTTCCCTAACCAGTGTTCCTTGTAAAATGTTAGAACATATAATTTACTCCAACCTTGTCTCATTCCTAGAATCAAATTCTTTTTTTACTTCCTACCAGCACGGATTCCGAAAAAGTTACTCATGTGAAACCCAACTTCTTTATTTTACTAATGACATAGCATCGGCTTTAGATCGCGGCTCACTTGTGCATTGCATTTTTCTTGACTTTCAAAAAGCTTTCGATAAAGTACCTCACCAATTACTCCTCCTGAAAATTAGTGCCTTAAACATTGACCCGAACATTCTTAAATGGATTGAATGCTTTTTGACTAATCGCACTCAGTTTGTAACAACTAATGGCTATAACTCACCTCTTTCTAAAGTAACATCCGGCGTACCCCAAGGTTCCGTATTAGGCCCTTTACTCTTTCTTATATATATTAATGATCTCCCAGACAGCATTAACTCCGCTATAAGGTTATTTGCAGATGATTGTGTAATTTACCGCGAAATAAACAATGAATATGATAACCAATTTCTACAGTCAGACCTTGACACTGTCTCAACCTGGTGCAATAAATGGCTTATGACTCTCAACTCTAACAAATCTAAATGCATGTCAATAACCCGGCGATCTATTTCTCCCCCCTGTACCTACAGAATTAACGCCGTTCCCCTCCAGCATGTCTCTTCATATAAGTACCTCGGCGTTTACATTACCAACAATCTATCTTGGCACACGCATGTTACCTACACCTGTAATAACGCTAACCGAGCGCTAGGATACTTACGCCGCAACTTTTCTCGCGCTCCGCTGTCCCTCAAAATTCTATTATACCGATCACTAATTCGTCCAAAGCTTGAGTACGCGTCCGCTATATGGGATCCCGTGCAGCAAAATTTAATTAACGCGTTAGAATCTGTTCAGAACCGCTCAGTTCGGTTCATTTGTTCTAATTATTCCCGTACTGCTAGCATATCAGAAATGAAATCTAACCTTGACCTACCCAATTTAACTGTCCGGAGGAAACTGGCGCGACTGCATTTTTTTCATAAGATATTTTTTCACAATCCATCAATGAAGCGAGACCTCATTTCACAACCGTCATACCACTCATCGCGCATTGATCATCAGCATAAGGTTGCCATTCCGTTTTGCCGCACCAAATTCTTTTCAGCAGCCTTCTTACCGAAAACAGCCGCCGATTGGAACCACCTTCCCTCTTCCGTTGTATCAATAACAGACCCTTTGTTATTCAAGACTGCAATTTCTCAGCAATGCTTCGTAACTATACGCAGTTTCCATTATCTATCTTTGTCTTGTATGTGCTTGAATTCTTATACATTTTTAGTTGACTTCTGTTGCCTTCCTGATTTGCGCATCTGATACTTGTTTCTTTATTTTGTCTTTTTTTCTTGTGTGTTATATATGTTGTACCCACCCCCTCTGTAATGCCCTACGGGCCCTGAGGGTATTCTAATAAATAAATAAATAAATAAATGTATGAGCTGCCACTGCCACGGCGGTAAATGTTTTGTTGTGGACATAGGACAAAGTTCTAGCAGCGGAACACCCATTTCCTCACTTAAGCTTCTCACACGCAAAGAGAACGGCTTTCTCGCTGCGGGTCGATTATGGTAGAGGGTGGCAGCGGTCGTATCGTTTATAGCTGAATAAGAAGGATGCTTTATGTTTGCGCGTACCTTTATAAAATAAGTAAAACTGCTATATGATCGTTGTAGGTGAAGTGACCACTGATTCGACTCTACATAGAGACTCTGGATCGGACTTATCCTGAAAGCACCGGTTGCCAGTCGGATACCCAGATGGTGAATGGGGTCTAGGATTTTCAGAGCACTTGGCGTTGCGGAGTGATAAATTATAGAGGCATAATCAAGGCGCGACCAAACAAGGCTTTTGTACAAGTTCAAGAGACACTTCCGATCACTACCCCATGTTGTACGTGATAGGAGCTTTAGGAGGTTCATCGCTTTCAGACAT